ACCGTTTCCCAGAATTCCTCATTCCCACTCACAAATGGGACTCTGTCTTCTCGTCGAAATGTGGCTGCTCTCATTTTCACCCCTATGTCCGCTGTCTGTGTGAATGACAGATAACATTTCCGTTTTTGCACCACCAAACCCCCTTAGTGGCAGAGCCCTCCCCCAGCAGGAATCGGCGCTCTGTTTACGTGTGTGTGTGAGAGAGACAAATGTGTGTGAATGTGGGGGAGGGGGGCAGGCCCCCCTGCTAATCTACGTAGCAGTTAGCATTTGCTTCAAAAGGTGCTTTTTGTGAATAATGCCCCCCCTCCCCCCCCCATCCTGCTTGGTCTGGGCTCTTGGCGCCGATCACGAGTCCCAGTCTCGATTTTGGAACGGCTTAGGGGTGCCAGATGCGGCAGGCCTGCTTCGCTTACAGCTGTGCTACAGGGGGCGCTATTGGAACTCCCCCCATTTTGGTTGGGAGGAGAAGAAGTGCAGCGCCGTCCTGCGGTCGCCCATTATTCACAGTGTGGGGCCCCTGCCTCATCCGTGTTTATAGATCTCTGCGTGGCGCGGTGAATGTAATCAGCCGGCTCACAGAGGACATGAGCTGGCGCCACCGCTCTGTCACCCCCCCGTCAGCGGCGCCTGCCGCGCACGCCAGAACTGTGCCGACTTGCTGGCTTTCGCTGGTCTTGCCCTGACCTGTAGCCTGCCTCCATGCTCCACTGCACCCCCTGCTGGCCACAAAGGGGTTTGCATGTCGTCGCGTTTCATTGTCCGGCAGCTACACTGGGACTCTCAACGTGGACGGTGAGTCACGCTTCGCGCCGGTTAGTTTCTCGAGTGGATCTGAGTAACATCCCCTTTTTCACAGGTGTGAATGTGGCTGCCCTCGTTCAAAACCACGTTTGGCACAGAGAGGAAGTACGTGAAGGTTCTGCTACGTATCTCATCTCTCTCAGGTTGTACTGGGTCTTTTCCTCCCAGTCAGCCATTTTTCACGCGGTGCGTGTAAGTACCGGCAATTTTCTGAGATTTTTTTTTCCTTTTGTAGACCGTTTGGAGGTCAAACACGGGCTTGCTTTCTGCCTCATCCATGCTGTGATTTAATTAACAGATCATGTTTACCATTTACTGGGGTCACACGTGTCGGTCGCTGTTAATCGGGTCATTTGGGAGTCTTACGGCTTGTTGCAGTGAAAGAGAGACCGTCGAGCCAGTAAACACCTGCCGTGGATTGGCTAAATTGTGCTGTATTATTTAGGGAACTGGATTTTTAACCACTGGGATGCGAGCGTCAGTTCTTACTGCCCGTGCCATTGTTGCTCACCTGTTTCCCTCCAAACAGTCCAGAAATGGACCCTAGAAAATGGAAATTCTAAGATACCTTTTGATCCACGGTTGAACTAGGAGATAGATATCTGTATCAATTTATTTGCCTGAATAATAAATCGTATTTCCAGGCAAAACAGATAAAAAGTACTAACTATGTTTTCCGTCGCATCACCTTCACTCAGGGAGACTTAATCGAAAGCCATTTGTCGGATTTATCGTCCCCAACACGGTGCTGTTTGCTTAAACGCTTGCAGGTGTCTCTCTACGCGCCCGTCTGATGGTGCGGCCTAGGGGGGAGCTGGCGTTCTCTCTCCTGGCCGTGAATCTTCCCCGGGGTCCAATCTGCGCGTGTGCTCCGCCCAGGAGGACGGGACGGCGTCGTCGTTTGCACCGGTCACTAGTACCGTCTGTGAGGTGTGCGATTACAGCACCCCCCCCCCCCCCAGCCGCACTTATTCAGCTCCCTTTAATACTCTGGAACAGACCCCACAATGTTACATGCTGGCGGGTGCAAATTGCCGGCGTTCCCAGTGAGGCCGGAATGCTCCCGTCGGCTCGGAGACGCTTCCGTGGTGACGGTCTGGACTCCCCTCTCTTCTCTTCTTTTTATCTCTGCAGTTTCCTTTCTTGATCATCACCATTCTTTGTCTCCCCAGACTGGCTGGTCTAGTATCACATGTTATGGCGGGGGGGGGGGGGGGGCCACGCCACGCCACTGCAACCAAATCGCCTCATAACTCTGACTCTCCGACTCCAGCCCCTTAACCTCTCCTGTCACAGTCAGAACCCAGAATTATCCCCCCAAGCCCCCCTGCCACGAAAACTGGCACATGATCATGAGCCAGCTAGGGGGGCATCCAAGGCGATGGGGGAGGCTGGGAGATAAATAATCCCGGATGTTCTGGGACCTTTTCTGCTGCAGTCGTTTATCAGAGCCCCCCCTTACTGCCCCCCATACCATGATTATGGTTTAACGGAATATCTAATTATGAGCGGGTACTGCTTTATTATTAATGTGTGACAGGAAGGAGCGAGCACTGTGGGGGATTCGATCGATATTACATTCAGGAAGCCAGGTTAATCAATTAACCGACTTAATTATTATATATATCAGCCATGTGGCCCCCGGTGGGTCTCTGCGAGCCACATCCAGGACACAGGTCTGCAAAGGCCCGTCACCAAATCGCCGTGGGAACAGAAGGCAGAGTTGGCAGTACTGAGGTCGGGCTTGCTGTTTCCCGGGGTCGTAAATACCCCCCACCGGTGCCGCCAGAAACCCGACGCTTCCCACGTCCCCTCCACCGTGACACGGGTACACGTGCCGCCCAGGCCGCAAGCCTCCGGCAGCTACCAGGACGGCTGAAACATAATGAGCCAATCACGCGTCTACAGATCTGATTACAGACACGAGCCCCGGTGTCAGAAAGTCGGCATCCTGCTTTAAATGTAACGTGTCGCAAACAAGACGGGAGCCTAGCATTTTGCTAATTAGATGAAATGTCAATATCAGGCACTAACGGTAAATAAACCATCTGTGTTTTTCCCGTCTCAGTCAGCCTCAGTGCCCCCACCCCCCACCTTAAGACTCATGAAAAGCAAACGCTTCGGTAATTTTCCACCATTCAGCCGGCAATCAGCCGTCGTTATCGAGCGTTCCGGAGCTGCCGCAATCTGCGCCCTCGTTAATGCTACTTTACGCGGAAGCTGCTTGTTCCATCGGAAGGCTGTCTGCTTGACGGCGGGATCACGTGATCGGGGTGGGGGTCCCGCTGTGGGGGGTTGGGCAGTGCGGGACCCGGTCTGGCACGTGGCACACAAGAAACAGCAGGCCGTAAGTCATATAAGACATTGGCAAAAACAGGAAAGAGTCATAATTTAACGGGGGGGGCACAACCAGCATTTTAGCAATTAGGAAGAACAGCAGACGAGATCCATCCTGGCATGTAGGTAAGGTTTCAATCTCATAGCCCGGAGGCTGGTTCAGATCCCTGGAGCGATTCTCTGGATAACGGGACTTGATCTCGACCCGCGGCAAACTGCTGGGCCGTATAACCCTGCACACGGCGAGTCACACGGGGCAGAAACACCGTAACACTTTCTGAGAGAGTGAAAACGAATCTGATGAGTTGTCTGTGTTAGTTGTTGTCGTTTCACTTTGTCTGGGGGTTTTGCTACCTGAGGCCCAAAAAAGGTGCATAACAAAAGCTTCGCTGATCAAAAGTGGAAAAGAGTGCCACAAGGCTGTGTCACTACCCCTAACCCCTTCCCTGTCTCATCTTTGACACGCACACGCGTGTTTGGCCCTGTCCCCGGTGCACAGGCACGGACTGCGCCCTCTCCTCAAATGCGCCGCAGTAATTTAGATTCACGGTGCGTGACGCACCCCTGACACGGTGCGCCGCCATTCGTACGTTCTGCTCGGAATCGCAGGCGCTCGCTTAATCAGAGCGCGAGAGCAAGCCGATGGCCTTGTGACTGGATGACACATGCAGTCAGACGCACGTCAAACATGCGCACACACCGGGACACACGCGCCGTCCTCCTAAACAAACAGCCTCACGGTAATAACCTTAGCAGGCGAGACGCAGCAATCAGAGCGGAGACAGATAGACAGTGTTACCAAGCACTGTTTCTCCTGGAGTCGGCAAAGCGAGTCTGTGTGTGTCTATGTATGTGTGCGTGTGTGTGTGCGTGCCTGCAAGGGTGTGTGTTCTCTGGGACCCAGCAGATCTAACCCCTTTCTCTCTCTGCACTCGACGGCAGGACGCTAGAGAGCAGCCGTCGCCTTCTTTTCGGCCGAGCCCGGCGATTACAGCGAGCATCGCTGGCCAGACGTGATCGGGCTTTTTAGCACGGAGACCGAGCAGGGCCTCCTTCACGCTCTGATCCTGAGGTGCTGATTTAGTTGAAACTGGAGGGGGACGGGTTCCACGGACTGTGCCGAGCTGACCACAGCGCAGGAGCTCGAATTTATTACATCTGCTAATGTGATCTGTTCAGCCAGCGGAAAAAGCAACCCCCCACGCAGCACCCCGGACCCCCCTCCTCTCCTCTTCAAGGAACGATAAACAAGACAAGCGTCACATTTAAAGAGACCCAGCGTGCCGTCTTTCCGTAAAATCATTCTGTCCGCCGCTGCCCTAACTCTACGCCAATGTCCACCTGCTCCGAATGCGCCCAAGGCTCTCTCACACGCTCCCAGATACTCCCCAGCATTCCCAAAGGCCTCCCTTATGCTTCCAGAATCTCCACTCTCGGGCACTGTGAATAGCAATTCATTTATTTAAACATTTTTAATTTACAAAAGAAATAGAATAGCTTGCATTTTTTTTTTTGTTCATCTCTCCAACCTCTATATTTCTTTTACATATTTTACACAGACTTCATTCTCCCCCTGCTTTCTTTAATTTTGTTTATACCACAATACAAACTGTGATCAGCAGTCCTTTGAGTATCCTGAAGTATGAAGACACATTAAAGCTCAAATATCCACTCTGGGTGAGTAGCCTCTGTACAAGCCAGCGCTTCTCCTTAGCGATTCAGAAGGTCCCTGAATCAGCCTGTGGGTTGTTAATCAGCAGTGAACTCCCCCCTCCTCCTCCTCCTCCACCCCCGCCTTTCCGACCCATTCCCTTCACCTCACGTCCCCACAAACACCCGCCCTCCCTCCCCACACCCCGTCACAGTCCCGATCGGTTCTCTGGAGAGCAGCTGCGGCACGGTTTTCCAGTTGGTCCTCCAGGCCCCCGGGGGCAGTCACACCTCGCACTCCCGGGACGGCTGCTGCTGGCAGGTGCAGGAGCCGTACTCGTTGATGATGACCAGGGCGCCCTCGATGTGGTTGGGCTTGTAGTCGACGTAGTATTCCGGCGCGGCCATGGCAGCCATCTGCTGCATGGTCTGTTTCTGCTTCTGTTGACGCCGCTGGCCGCCAAGACATTGCCGGAGCTGCCGCACTCCGGCCGGGAAGCACTTCCAGGACACGTAGAGCATGAGCACCACGATCAGGAAGGAAAAGATCAGTGCCATGGTGCCAGTCACCACCTTGTGGATCTGCATGGTGCTGTCCAGGTCGTCAGTGGCCTCCGTCACGGTGAATGAGCGTGTAGACACCTCGCTGCTCTCCGTCTCCTGCAGGTCATACGGGCCGCCGGTGGGGCCTCCGTAGGCGGGGCCCCGGGTTCTGTCCTTGGTGACGGCGTGGGCCCTGGTGGTGGCAGCGTCGCCACGGTCCTCGCACAGCTGGAACGCGTAGACGGCATCCAGTACGTCCTCGCCCTGAGCCGTGTCCGGGCTGGCGCACAGTAGTCCGCTGTCCCGCTGGCCCCGGAAGGCGCTCAGCCACGAGGCCAGGGCACAGACATTGCGGCCACACTCCCACTGGTTCCCCGACAGTGTGACGCTATGTAGTGACGACCAGGAGTCCAGGATGCGCTGGTCCACGTAGGTCAGCCGGTTGGAGTCGAGTTGCAGCGACCGCAGATTGGGCACGCTCTCGAAGACATGCGGTTCGATGTACTCGATTTCGTTCCCCGAGAAGTCGATCTTCTCCAGGAAGTGCCAGGTCCACTCTAGCGTGCTCACCACGATGGTGGCCCTGTTGCGTCGCATGTAGAGCGCACGCAGCGAGATGAGCCGTGGGAAGTGGGCCAGGTTGACCTTGACCAGCTCGTTGTGCTCCAAGTGCAGCTCAGTGAGCTTGAACAGCCCGGCGAATGAGTTACGCGCCAGACTCTGCAGCTGGTTGTAGCCCAGGTCCAGGAACTGCAGGCTCCGGCAATCCTGGAAGATACGTACTGGCACGAACTTGAGGGCATTGTAGCGTAGATGCAGGTTGGTCAGCTTCCTGAGGCCGTGGAAAAGGTCCGGCTCTAGGGCCTGCAGCTTATTGTACGATAGGTCCAGGATGCGCAGGTTGGGCATGGGCCGGAACGTCCCGTTGGCCAGGCTCTCGATGCGATTGGCGCTCAGGTCAAGCTCCTTGACGCGCCGCAGCTTGTCAAAGGCATCCTCCTCCACACTCTCGATGGCATTGTGGTCCAGGTAGAGCCATGTGAGCTGCTGTAGGCCGACAAAGTGGCCCTCACGCAGCTCCGCTAGCGCATTCTCGCGCAGCGACAGGCCCGCGGCGCCGCTCAGATTGCGCGGCACGTCCGTCAGATTGAGCCCCTCGCAGTACAGCAGCTTGCTGTCGCAGCGGCACAGCCGCGGACAGACGCCCCCCGCCATGGGGACCGCTTCCAGTAAGATCCCCAGCGAGCACAGTATCAATCCAGCCGGTGTCCGCAGTGGCCACTTCTGACAGAGACCAATCAGGAGGAAATCCATTAGCATGAATATCCCTGGATGTAGCGGAGAAAAAGTCCATTGAATCTTTCAGATATTACATTGTATTGTGTAAACTCCCAGGCGAAAACCTCTCTCTCTTTCTCTCTCCCGGTCTCTATTGCTCTCTCTCTCTCTCCCTCCCTCTCTCTTTCCCCCTCTCTCTCTCTCTCTCTCTCTCTCTCTCGCCCTTCCTCGGACGTGCTTTGTTTGTTTACTTATCGCGATCAGGAATCCTGGCACAACAAAAATAAAAGAGTCGGCGGCGATGAAAGGCCAGTTGCGGGGCTCATGTTCGATAATCGCGGCGATTCGGAGGCAAGCGATGCCGAGACGCTGTCCCCCGCGAGCCAGCTCCGTCTCAAAGGATTCCTACTCACCCCCTTCGCAGCGAGTGACAGCCCCTATTTAGCCGATCTCTTTGTGATGCCGCTAATTATGTATGGATCTCAGAAAGACCCCACTGTGGAATGGATTCAGTGGGACCTCCCCCCCCCCATAAGGCCCCGCTTTTCAGCGGACACCCGATCTTGGCAGGGGTACAATGTCTTAGTTTTAGCCGCTTGAAAGAGCCCTGGATAGGGGCAGAATCCAAGTGGCCTTTCAGTGGGCTGTTAGGAAGTGCAAGTTCCCCTCACTGCATCGGAGTCGGAGCGCTCCGCTCGCTCTCTCTCTCCCTCGCTCTTTCACTCTCTATCTCCCTCCCTCGCTCTTTCTCTCTCTCTCACTCCCTCTCTCTCTCTCTCTCGCACCGCTCCTCCGCAGTGACTGCTGCGATGGTCCCACAGAGGATGAAAAAAAAAAATCCCCCTGGAAGAAAGAAAGAAAGAAAGAGAGAAAGAAGGGTGGAGGAAACAAAAAAAACCAAATCCCTCGGAAATATGGAACTCTTCCCCCCCCCCGCTCTGTCTCTCCCCCCACTCCCTCTATATATATATATTTTTGAAGACTTCGGAAGGTGGCGTGTCAGCCCAGCTCTCTGTCCGGGACTCGAGAGGCGCGGCGTCTAATCCAAAGGGTCGCTCGGCACTGTTCGGCTCCGCGACGAGGAGGCGAATCAGATGTGTGTCAGGCTGTGCATTCATGTATCGATATGAAGGGTATCTCCCCCTTGTCTGGATCTCCGAAGGCTTCTTATCCCGGTGGTTCCCCGGTTCCGCTGCCGCTCTCTCCCGTGGCGGCGGCGGCCGCTTGTCGTCTCCCCTGGGTCTCCGGGCCCCGGCATCCGCGGCCGGCTGGCTGGCGAGGGGAGACGCTGGGGTCCTTTCGCAGCAGACGGGCGCTTCGGCTCGCCTGCAGAAGACCCTTCTGTTCACTGAGTGTCGTAAGCCGCTCACGATTGCGCCTGGGCTCTCGCTCGCTCTCCCTCTCTCTCGCTCGCTCGCTCTCTCTCTCTCTCATCCGCCCGCCTCACTGCTTTTCTCTCTCTTTGCCATTCGGTCTCTCTGTGTCTCACACATTTCCATATTCAGGAGGGTGGGCGGGGCTTAAGCTGAAGCTTTAATGGAGCACAGGACTGATGCATGCTCCCCCCCCCCCCGTCCACCACTCCAACACCTTCCCTCTCTTGCTCTCTCACTCTCTCTCTCAGTCTCTCTCTTTCTATAATGAATTGAAACATGCCTTCGATATCTAGCCACATGGCCTCGTCACAGATAGAATCCCCCCATTCCCTGTTAATATGCATTAATATTCAGCTAGTGGCCAAAAAAAAAAACGTTTTATGCGCCGTGCGATTATCGGGAGTGGGAGTGGGATCGGACAGCGCGGCGTGTGAGCGCGGCTTTGCGTTGACTGTGTCTGTATGTATGAATACGTTATCTAGGGTTTTTAGGACCTGCATTGAGAATGCAGGAAGATTGATGGATATTAACTGAAGACTGAGATGTGCTGTGAATGTGTGAGAAGGTGTGTGTGTGTGTGCGTGTGTGTGTGAGGCTGTTAGGAGTTTGTGGACAGACCTGGCTCTGCTGTAGAAACCCCATGTACCGCTTTATTGTCAGACTTTTTCAGAGGCCGTCGGAGGTGTTAAAAACCCAGCGGCATCGGCGGGAACGGAGACACAGAAGAACACCACGTCTTTCACTAACACAGTTATGCTACTTCGCCGGTTTCTGTGGTTTTGTCAACTGCCTGCTCCTGCCACCAATGATTACCTCCGTGTCGGGTCAGTATGACGCGACTCATCCTGGTTTCTTGGGCCAAACCGGCCAAGACAGGGACTCCGTCTCCATGTCTCATGATTGGTCTTTGTTTCCTGACCATGCCCCTGAAATGACATCTCACCCTGTGGGTGTTTGCTGCTGGCCACCGCAGGTGCAGGGGTCTCTGGGAAATGTGTCTGTTTTGAGCCTTGCAGAGTCTGATCACAGCTTTGAAAAAAGAGTCCCTTCGTAAGCCAGGAACAGCTCAAAGATTCCCGTCATGTTCCTTCTTGTGATGTTCCTTCCCTTGATTTTCCTTCCTGTTATGTTCCTTTCCGTGATGTTCCTTTCCTTGATGTTCCTTCATACAATGCTCCTTTGTATGATATTCCTTCCCATGATGTTTTTCTGTGATGTTCCTTCCTGTGATGTTCCTTCCCTTGATGTTCCTTCCTGTGATGTTCCTTTCCGTGATGTTCCTTCCCATGATGTTCCTTTCTGTGATGTTCCTTCCTGTGATGTTCCTTCCCATGATGTTCCTTCCTGTGATGTTCCTTCCCATGATGTTCCTTTCTGTGATGTTCCTTCCTGTGATGTTCCTTCCCATGATGTTCCTTTCTGTGATGTTCCCAAGATATTCTTTTGGAAGCTTCTGAATGCATTATTCTCCACCCACGCTAGATGTGGGGCATCTCATTAGGTCACCATTTACCCATTTGACCGGATACAGTGAGTTGGTGGGGGACAGGATTTTACGAGGACGTGAAAGCACTTCACCGCAGATGAAGAAACCAGTAGAAGTGTGTCTGAAGCTGGAAACCCACACAAATTAAACAAATGGGCCTGATCAGTCAGCTTGGTAGAACTAATGAGAGCAAATACACTTTGGGGAATCGGTGGGGGGGCTTTCCATTCACGGCCCCACAAACAGAAAAACAAACACACAGGTGACACAGCCTCCCAACTCTCAGCCCACACATAGGGGGCGGTGTGCATGGTTTGTTCCCAGACCCCAAGGAGTCCTGTGCTGTGTTTATATCCCGAAGCTCTCGGCTGCTGTCTGTGGCACGCTGCCTGTCCTTGTTTTCACTCCACCATAAAAGGCTGCACTTTTCCCCTTCGGACGACTGCAGATGTCTGTTAGAAACGCTGGCGCTGAATGAACTCGGTTATTTTAGGTACGATGTTGCGGGGTAACGCCTCGCTTCTGCTCAGTCCACTGCTGTCAGAGTAATTGCCTCACTGAGGAATTGTTTTTCATTTCTATCTAGATGGGGATTACGTGTCCCTCAAGCCAGGCCAGGAACTGGGACTGATGGGAGACCACCCCACGCTGATGATTTGTTACCGCGGTGTGTGTACGTGTGTGTGTGTGTTTCTCTTTGTTTACATTGGATATTCTGATCAATAGCCTATTAAATATCTCCGTAAAGTTTTCTGCTACATTAGGTTTTAAAGTGCAGGGTCCTGTGTGCTAAATGGACAGTGCAGTGCTGACAGGACATAAACCGTGCCAGTTGGTACTAAGTCCATGGGGATCAGAAAGCAAGAGCTGTAACCATGGCAACATATACTAAGAGCTGTCCCATAGCAACAGATATTAAGATCTGTCTCTCAGCAACAGGTACCAAGACCTGTTTTCCAGGAGTCGGTTACTGTCCCATAACAGCAGGTCTCCCGGCGATGGGTACTGAGATCAGTGTCCCAGCAACAGATACCAAGACCTGTCTCCCAAAAACAGGTACAAAGATGTATCTCCCAGAAACAGGTACTAAACACAATCTCCCAGCAACACGTACTAAGCTCCATCACCTAAAACCAGGTACTTAGTGCTGTTTTCTAGCAGCAGTTACCAAGATGTTTCCCAGCAGCAAGTGCTTTCTCTCAGCAACAGGTGATGAGCACTGTCTCCTGGCAACAGGTACTAAGCNTTTTCTAGCAGCAGTTACCAAGATGTTTCCCAGCAGCAAGTGCTTTCTCTCAGCAACAGGTGATGAGCACTGTCTCCTGGCAACAGGTACTAAGCGCTGTCTCCTGGCAACAGGTACTAAGCACTGTCCTCAAGCAGGATCTGCTGAGGGAGCCCACTTGACAATTGGGTCGGGATGTGTTCCACAGCAGCAGGACTCCCAGCGATGGGTACTGAGATCAGTGTCCCAGCAACATATCCCAAGACCTGTCTCCCAGCAGCAGGTACTAAGATGTATCTTCCAGAAACGGGTACTAAGCGCAATCTCCCAGCGATAGGTACTACGATGTATCTCCCAGAAGCAGGTAGTAAATGCTATTTCCCAGCAACAAGTACAAAGTGCTATTTTCTAGCAACAGGCACTAAGTGCTGTCTCCCGGCAACAGACACTAAGCGATATCACCCAGAACCGGTGGCCTGTACTACAAAGTGGGGTTACTGGCTTATCGGGGTAACTTGTCGAATTTAAGGTACCACAGTTTTCCCCAGACTACCTTAAATCCAACAACAGATACTTAGTGCTGTTTCCTTGTAACAGTTACTAAGATGTTTCCCAGCAGCAGGTGCTAAATGCTTTCTCTCAGCAACAGGTACTAAACACTGTCCTCAAGCAGGATCTGCTGAAGGAGCCCTCTTGACAATTTTTGAGAGCTTTGATTGGGTCGGGATGCGAGCGCTGACGTGGGCCCACATCCCCTCGAGGACCCACATTACCTTAATTATGGGACAACTGCACCAAGGTCATCTCCAGCCTCCCCCCTCTACTTCACTATAAACAGGATGACTCTTCTGTCAGAGTTTCTCTAATGGACCTGCTTGGGTCATCCTGGTACCTGAACGGGTGGCGAGACTCGGGCCAGGAAGCTTTACCGTGCAGAAGCGGTTCCTTACCCACACCACCGGCCCAGGAATAATCCTTGAGTGACATGTTCTTTCATCAAACTGGCCGCGAAGGAATGGGGGTGGGGTTAGTGGCGGGCTGGCAAGGTGGACGTGCCACGCATGTGCAAAGCCGTGCGCTTAACGACGCCATCAATTAGGCAGAAGATGAAACGCAAATAACACCTGACAGTGCAGAGCGGCGTGGGCCCGGCGGCTCGGTGCGGCCAGTCAGCCACGACAACGTCCCTCACAGACACAGATGCTCCCTGTCGACCTGCTTAGCTCACGCCGCGAGAGCTCGTGACGGCTCTACCTTCACACGGCGCCGCACCCCGTGTCCAGATGCCCGAGTGTCTGTCACTGTCCCCTCTGGGTCCTTTGCTGTGTCACCTGAGGGGGGGGGGGGGGGGGGGGGTCTCTGGGGGGCTTTTGGGTGCGGTAATTAATTGCCATCTGATTAGAGATCCATTATTTGAACGCTTTATCGGACGAGTGGGGTTTAAATTAGGAGCTCAGCAAAGTGCTTTACGGCGGAATGGAGCGGTCTCATTAATGGGTCAGCAACGAGCGCAGTGAGATAATGCGGTGGGGGGGAGGGGGGGCGTTGCATTCGATGGAGGCTCTCCAGAGCACTGGCTTTTTTGTGAATTAAAATATCGGAGAGCAGCAACAAGGCTAAGGGTGACGTGACGGCAGGCTGTTTCCCAGCAGGTGGGGGCCGAATTCCTCGTCCGATGTTGGAGTTGTGGGGGGGGGGGGGGTATATGGCGGGCGGTCTGGACACCGGAGAAGGTCACCCGTCATGCAGACTGGGGGGAGGGGGGTGTTTTGTCAATGCTGCCCACGGATGGGTTTGCCTGCAAAGTAAA